AGAGAGAGAGAGAGAGAGAGAGAGAGAGAGAGAGAGAGAGAGAGAGAGAGAGAGAGAGAGAGAGAGAGAGTTATACACAGCCGCACAGTCACTTCGTGAATGCACACAAACCATCAGCACGTGCCGAATTGTGCACATCACTACCAATGAGAAGGCGGATGCACTCATAACCACCGCAATCAATGTCGATGTCAAATTTGAAGTACTCAATAGTAAATGCAATGAGGAGAGAGAAGTGTGCAACCATACCGACATGCTTTGGCTCGGTTAATCGCTACAGCAATTAACCGTTGAAACACAGACTTAAGTTAGAGTCCTGATGCAATCAGATTCGGACAGAATAAAATAATCCTGAATTACCCGCGGCCTCCCAGTTCAACGATGCTATCTCAACGCCGTCGCCCCCCCTGTGCAAGGATGACACACATCGAGAGGGAAGAAAGGAGGAGGAGGAGGAGAAGGAGAAGGAGAAGGAGAAGGAGAAGGAGGAGAAGGATGAGGATGAGGAGAAGGAGAAGGAGGAGGAGGAGGAGAAGAGGGGAGGAGGAAGGGGAGGAGGGAGGGAGGAGGAGGAGGAGGAGGAAGGGAGGGAGGAGGAGGAGGAGAAGAAGAAGAATGGAGAAGGGAGAAGGAGGAGGAGGAGGAGGAGGAGGAGGAGGAGGAGGAGGAGAAGACGACGACGACGACGAAGACGAAGAAGAAGAAGAAGAAGAAGAAGAAGAAGAAGAAAAGAGAAAACTAGGGCGCTGTCACGGTTTCAGTTTGTAAATGCACTTCGGTCACGATTTCGTGAATGCTGTGCCACAGCGAGGAAAATCGTGAATGTATACAACCCCCAGCTTTTTTAGGGCCGTGTGGGGATGTGTTGTAGTCGAGGGATGCATGAATGCACGGTGTAAATCAATCACCAAACCGGAAAAAAAAAACGAAAGCCCACATGCAAGCCGCACAAATAAAGAGGGGTGCAATTTGCACAAACGTCACTCTCCATTGTCAAGCACTGGGGTCATATTGGAAACGCATGTCTCATTGCTGACAGCAATTGCCCTTGCGACATTTATTTATGACGGTCGCTGACACTGTACTCAGGACCGACGCAGAGCACCACAGACTTCATAGTGTGCGTTTCTCTGCTACTATTTCCATCCAAATAGAAAATGGCTGGTCATTATCGCCGTATCTGGACTGAAAGCTGCACCAGATACTGCTACACGACCCGCCGTTCTATTTGGGTGAAGACAGTAGTCAGTTGCAATTCAATCACCAGACGGAACTCCATATCCAAGCCCCTACCGACAAAGGTGCACGGAGATCTCTCCTGCATGCACAAGTAGTCGATCCATCCATGCCCAGGCACACCTGTTCACTAGACATGCACATCCACTCGAGAGGAGAAGGAAAAGCAAAACCGAACTAGCATCTTCACCCCAATACATCGTACGGTCATTATATCAGTATTTGGGGCATCTTTGAGTCTAGATACAGCAATAATGACCGTACAGTGTATTTGGGTGAAGAACGTAGTAGACACGCCCCTACACTCGCAAAGTCTGCGCCACCATTCAAAAACATTACCTGCAAAGAAACGCCAAGCTCGAGAGCCCACATACCCATTTTCTTCTTTACAGACCGTAGATTACTAGGACCTTTGGTCCCAAACAATGGGCCCAGATGAGTTGGTACACCCATGAACTGTCTAAACACAGACCCACGTTCGAATCCCGATGCAACCATGCAAACATTTAGATCATTACTAGAACCGAAGGTCACAACCAATGGGCCCAGCTCAGTCGATACGCCTGCAAGGAATTGGGTCCTCGGCATGCCTGTGAAGGGGGAATTGGGTCCTGGGCATGCCTGTGAAGGGGGGGGGGCATACAGCAAGCATGGGCCCGCCCTACGTCAAGGTGGGCCTCTGAATATGGACAAGGCCTGAATCTGTCAATTGTGCAAGTCCTGGTGGGCGCCAGACAGTTGCCACGCGCAGGTTGGTTTCATCCGCCTTGCTTGTGAAAATCAGAAACATACGTGAGACTTCCAGGCTCTTCTGGATGCACAGTCCAAGCAGGGAGCACCACACGTTTCGCATGTGTGGTTGGGCCCACCTAAGCAGTTTGGGCCCAGGGCAGTATCTGAATGGGGCCTGGGCGCAGACACTGAGGCCCGGCATGAAGCTACTGGGCACACGATCCACCCAGCCCAGAAGCTTCCAGGCCAGGTCACTGTCCATATAGGAAAGCGCCTGGCTACGGGAGGGGCATTCGGGCACTTGGACGAGCGGGCGGCCACGCTGCTGGAGCGCATGCTCGTGCAAAAGCTGCTAGAGTCAGTGCAGAGACGTGAACGCGATCGCGAGGTAGGGTGCTGCCTGTATGCAGCGCCATAGCCAGCCCTCATAGCCGGGCTTGGCTTGGAAAAAGGTCGACGGGGGTGATTAGGGAGGGGCATTCGGGCACTTGGACGAGTGGGCGGCCACGCTGCTGGAGCGCATGCTCGGGCAAAGCTGCTAGAGTCAGTGCAGAGACGCAAACTGATCGCGAGGTAGGGTGCTGCCTGTATGCAGCGCCATAGCCAGCCCTCATAGCCGGGCTTGGCTTGGAAAAAGGTCAGCGGGGATGATTCGCGGTGATCCTTGGTAGGCGGTAAGACGTGGGAGACGAAGACGAGGGTGAGCATAAGAGGGCGGACAAGGGTGATGCTGTGAGGGCACGTACCTGGTCTTGCCGGAGGTCTGCATGGTCGAGATCTGCATGTACTTGAGTTTCGTCTGTTGATGTCAACTGGTTGCTTCGTCAATTGTAGACTACTAGTAGTGTAGCTGTGTGATCGTAGTCTGTGCACTGAGTGCCACGTAGGAAGGAAGGGTCCTCAATACACATTGTTGATGGTGGCAAGAGTATGCTCTCATTGGCATTTGAGTTCGGTGCTTTAGTTCTCCCCTGGTAGAATACCAGTGCATTTCTGCTTTCCGGACAGCTTTGCACTATCTGTCTTTCCATGTGATTTTGCAATCTGGAATTCTGTAATCTTTACTAATTTCCCTATTGCTCATTTTCCTTGCACACCCATGAACTGTAGAAATACAGACCCAAGTTCGAATCCAGATGCATTCGTTGAAACATTACCTTCAAGAAACGCCAGGGTTGAGATCCGCGTACCTGGTCTCTGCTTTATACCCCGTAAGATTACTACGGGCATGTTAAGGCCACAACTAATGGGCCTAGCTCACTTGGTACACCCATGAACTGTCGAAATACAGACCCAGGGTCAGATCCAGATGCAATCAGAAGAACAATAACGTTATTCTTAATTACACGGGACCAGTCAGCTCAACGATGATATCTCAAACGCCGTCGTCCTTTTCAAAAAGGGAAAAAAAAAAAAAAAAAAAAAGTAAAGGCCAGAAACACAGAATGCCAGTCAGTTGAACTCTGAACCATCAGGAAAAAAAAAAGAAAAAGTAAAGGCCAGAAACACACAATCCAGATCCTAATTGTCCATACGGACGCGGGCCTACAGACGTGATTGACCAAGCTGTCTGCCCCACAAAGGGCCATCCTCCACTACTACTTCCCCCCAGAACATGGGCAGATACACTGCCATGACTTTTGTGTTTTGTGCATGTGGTCAGCAGTGCAGCGAGGCCCAAAGCGGTTCTCCTCATGCAACATCAGGAGAATCGCTGCCTAACCCATACTGACGCACCATGGCACACATTACACAACGAGCTCTGGAGACAGGTATGGTCATTGTGATCCACACCCACACTGCAAACTCTTTGACTTGGAAGACCAGAGTACTGCGCTGCCATCTGGACAAAAGAGGCAGAGCTATCATCCATACAAGATTACCCACAAACACAAAGATGACTAGACAGCCTCACACAAAACCCCTATGCAACACTCGCGAGTACATTTATGTGTATGTAATATGTATGCATGCGTGCGCGCAACAGAGCAAGAGAGTGAGCAAGTGTGTGTGTGTGTGTGTGTGTGTGTGTGTGTGTGTGTGTGTGTGAGAGAGAGAGAGAGAGAGAGAGAGAGAGAGAGAGAGAGAGAGAGAAGGCACACTTCCCTGCATGCTGTCCTGGGCAGAGGCTTGTGGATCATGATAAGATTCTGAGAGATGGACTGTCAAGCAAATATCATATCACAGCTCGACCAATGGGAAAGCTAGAACGTAGTTCTCTACAAGCACACAAAGGCTGGTTTAACTGGTGACATGGTCTCCTTACATGCGGAGGCATATGGTAAATTTCTTCTAGTTTCCGTTCCCCGACAATGCGCTGGATGCAAAGGTGCCACCCCTGCAACGCCTAAGCAACATTTAGAGATCACGACTTCGCAAATACAACTGTCGAATTCCTGGACAAGCAGGCACCAACTGATGAGCCCCACAACGAACAATGGATAACATTCACTACGTGCTGTTCCAATGCCCCCATCCGACCCCAGTTCACCCCACTGGTATGCGCCATATTCTCCCATGTGAGTGCTCTCTCTCTCTCTCTCTCTCTCTCTCTCTCTCTCTCTCTCTCTCTCTCTCTCTCTCTCTCTCTCTCTCTCTCTCTCTCTCCACGGGGATTCTGACTGACGAGTGAATAGCAATGCAGAAAATTGCCTGCAGGCTTGACCAGCAAATCCCTATGCAAATCGCATAACCCCCCACGAATTGGCTTTTAGAATGTCAATTTTTCAAACCATCAGCACCCGGGAGAATTCTTCCTGGTTGCGACATGAAAGGTCACAAAATTTTGTCAAACAGAACTTAAAACGAACAAAATTGGCCGGGAAGGAAACATTTTCACCGGAATTGGGATCCAATCGCAATGATGGTTCATGCAGAGCCTACCTTCAAAATACCAGGAGTCCGACAAAAGCCATGCAGGGCTGAAGGAAGCAAAGCGTATCCGTGAGTCCTGAAAAGCTGGGGCCCAACAAAAAAAAAAAAAAAAAAAAAAAAAGAAGCTGGCGCGTGAAGGATATTTTCAATGTGCAATCAGAGGCCGTATCTCGGGCACGATCAGCCAGCATTCACTCAAGCAAGAAGAGCCAAAAGCTTGGAAACAGTTTTAAATGAAAAGAACTTGAAAAGAAGAGGGCAAAAAAAAAAACAATCAGATGTTAAAAAACAAAGACAACTGCATACCTATTTCTGCAGATCAGATGCTTCGTCCACCAGGTGCCTCTCCCCACCAATAGACTGGAGCATCCAGAATTCTCATTAAAAAAGAAGAAGAAGAAGAAGAAGAAGAAGATGCTTCATCTGTGCAAATCCGACGGCCAGTACTCACAAATTACATACCTGACTTGTGCCATGCTCACCGGCATCCCAAACACCCGCTTCAAGACACGTCCGGTGAGAATCCGGCTCCCTGTCCACATCACGATGTCTAACATAGAAAAACAAGGAGACCTAGGTGTTTATCAGTGACCCCATCAGTCGTGACAATCAGCGTACCTAACCTATCAAGATCCCTACCCTCATCCTCATCTGGACAAAGGAAGACAATGAGAAAGCCAAAGAAAAACGAAAGCGGACGGAAATAAAGAATACCACTTGTGAGACATTGAAACACAGCCTTGATTACCACAGCCTTCTTCAACGACCAAGAAAGAAATCCCCAAAGAAGAGCAAATCTCCAGGTGCCCGAGCAAGTTATCGAGAATTGCAGCAAAGAAGCACCATTAACACTAATTAGCAGTAGTCCTGACAATTCTAAGGAGGGAAGCGCGGGGGATTTGGGGGGGGGGG